GGTTAATCAGTTAATAAAGTTAACCGGTTAACCGTTTCTAGAATTAATCGGTTAACCGGTTAACTCTTAATTTTAACAGTTAATTAACCGGTTAAAGAATTTTTGCACGGTGCCAACCTCTAAACTCTACCCCATTTAAATAACAAATTCAGTTGGTCAAATAAAAATTAAAGAGATGCAGAAAATTTACAAAAATGATTATACAAAACAAACACTATTTTTACAACTTTCCTCTTAACATCAGAGCCCAAATGCAATTTCAGGGTCACCATAAACCTCCTGTGCTTGAAACAAGCTGCAGATTCTCTTTGCTTTGATGGATCTGGATATTTACATGGCACTACAATTCATCAGCAGAGTTGCAACTTGGTCACAGAGCCATCCTTACCCCAGAGGTGGGATCATTGCAGGCAACTTTTCATCCAACATGCCAGCAGCCTTCTCTGGCCTGGGTGCTGTGAGGGAAGATTATCAAAAGTGTCATTGATGATGATGCAGTCTCAGTAAACTCCAGGGCAAGCAATCCTTCCCCTGGAATTCAGTTGCATTGTTATATCATTGAAGGTCGCAAGTCAGATTAGCCTTTTGTACATGAGGAATGTGTGAGAATGACCATAAGTGTTCAAGGCAGCATGCATGCTTCAACACTTGTCAAATTTCCGATAATCAAATGTCACATATTGAATGTTTCATATTTGAATTGTTTCTTTTTCAACAGTCAATGCTGCCTTGACATCTTGTAATTAATTATATTATTAATGTTATTACTGATTACAAAAATACCAGCCATCTGTTTACCATCTTATAATTACCTAGCAAGATCTGCTCTGCGTTTTGATTTCCAATTATATATATTTAAAAGACACATATATCAATGCAAATAAAAAAAGGCACCTCTGGCTAGTTATTAACACGTATTCTTTAGGAGATTCAAACCATACCAAACAACATCACTCGCGTTTTGTCATCTGTCAAAAAGTAAATTGTTTTCCAAAAAAAAAAATCAATTTGTGTCTGTCCTACCAAAAAAAAACCAATAGGATAAATAATTAGTGTGTACACGTCGATCAAATAACAAACTTTTCTTAATTTTTTTTAATTAAGATGCCAAAGGACAAACAATCTGATAATAAATGAAAACAACAACAAAACAAAGCTGAGGTTGCAAGAGTGTAAATGTTTTAAGAATGGTGGTGGTTATCACCACCACTCGTCACTCTAGTTAAATTGTTAAAAAAATGATGAATTGCCACTGCTATTCTAGTCACTAACCATTGTTCTCTTCAAGTTCTGATGACACTACTTTGAATAAAGAAAACAACAAGGGAGGTGTTAAAAGAAGTGATAATTAACCTTATTTTTTATACGAAAAAATATCTCTAATTATTATATGTATATTTCCTAATTTTACAGGATATTAATATACCATTAGAATCTAATAATATTAAACTTCATCTATCTGATTACAATATCATTAATCTATCAGAATGCAGACTTGGTGACCCTGTAAATCAGAATATTTCATTTGAAGAAAAAGATAGTCTAAAAGAAATATGGCTAAGTTTTGAACCTGATAAACAAAAATCTATAAAATATAATAAATGGGAAACAAAATTGCAACTTCTCATTAATAAATATCAAAGAAATTTAAACATGGAAAATATCTTTGATTATATAAATCTAGATGATGCAATTGATGAAGTTATGAAGAAAACCATATGATGGAAAATTTGATTTCCAAGAACACTATGATAATATTTGGATACAAGACATATACAAAAGGTTCTTTGTAATGATAAAATCACCTGTGAATCAATTATTGGATCCTGAACAATGTGAATTTTCATATAGAGAGTCCTTTGTTAATCCGATTATTGCTAAATCTTTTGATGATGTTAATAATATCATAAAATTTAAAACTGGGGAGATTGAAGCTAAAACCCAAAAAACAGAAAAATGAAACAATTAAAAAATTGATGCAAGTTTGTGTTGGATGCAACCATGATGGTGTAATACAGGTAAAAGCAAATGCATGTGATATGGAAATTGCTTTTATGGAGGTGGTAGGTAGCATGATCTATTTTGATACTACCAAATTTAATGATGATCTTAATAAAGTGTTGAATTGTAGCATCAGGAAACTTTTCCTGCCGTAATATTACATCTGTAAGTTTTAATATGAAATATCATAATATTTCACATAAAAAGGATGTAATATTTACACTGAATGTAATAATTGTGTAATTTTTGTGCAATTTTTGCATAATATTACACTATTTACATAAGTTTATGGCGGGCCCCATAATATTACATAAATTTGCGTCAGAAAAAATTTCCTGATGTAAGTATACCAATAACAGTATGAAGGTTTTTTTATTCTTGACATGTTAATAACATCATTATAAAATCAACTAATAGCTATGTACGCAAGTATTTATTATCAAAAGTTGTTTCATTTGGGCTACGGTGCAACAGAAAATCAAATTAAATGCATTGAATCATATGGTATAATGGTTCACCGTAAGTGATAATGATTTAATGTCTATTGTTATATTAATATTAGAAAAAATCACATTTCTCTATTCTCTCCAAAACTTAGAACGTTGTTTTAAATTTTATGCTATGCACCATAATAGTGGCTTGTATATTGTAGACAAATTCATGGAATTTAACATTCCAAATTCCATTGATCAGTTATATGTTTTAAAAGAAGTTGTAATGAAAACATATTTATTTAAGGTATAGATTTCAAACTTCCACTTGATATATTTTTCAATTTATTCAATTTATTTGTTGCTCATGAACTCTGAAATAATTTTTTGTGTATGTAACAGAGCTGTATTATGGGCTATTGTAATACAATACAGAAGATAACACAAAATTCAATAATAACCAAAAACATAAACACTTTACCAGTTGAGGTATTACCCTCAAAAAAGAAAAAAAAAATAGAACTGGATCATCGTGATGTTTTAAATCATATATGAACATTTTTTTTAAAAAAAAAAATCTTTTTCCTTTGATAAATTGGCCTACATTTTAAGGGATAACTTTTTCTCCCAAGAACAAAACACTAAATATTTATTAATAATAAATAACCATGGTATTTTTATACATTAAAATGGTGGTGCTGTAATTCTTTGGTTCCATGGTAGACCTAATATAAATTAGCTTCATATTACTATTTTCATCTAGACAAATATCATTGATCACATTACATTGATAATACAAATTGTGATGTTAAAAACAATATTGATCCCTGAAATTTTTGGTAATACCAATGTTCACTTTGTCTGGTTTTTGTTGCAGCATGCCCCATTTGATGAATATGCTTTATATAAATATGGTATCTTGAAATCATATCATTAAATGTGAAATCAGGTATTATTTGTCTAACTAAACCAAAATAGCCTTCTGAGCCATACATCCCATGGAAAAAATGGAAATTAGGATAGTACTCCCTGTGTACTTTTACAAGCAATAAAGGTTAAGCATTACATTTTACCAAAAAAAAATTTTTTTGAGCAAAGAAAGAAAAAATAGGCTACACCGATTTTATTTTTGTTTGCATTCTTATACTAATATTAAATGTCACGTGATTAACATCAGTTTTTCAGCGCGTGGCGCAATAAATAGACTTTCCGCACCATATTATAATTTATTATTTTTTTAAACAAACATTACATTATAATTATAATTATGATTTGGAACCCCTTTTTTTTTTTAATAATCATCACCTCTACTAAGAACCTATTTAAAGAATTAAAATTGTTAATTAAAGTTTTATCAATTTTTATCACAATGTGATTATAACTTACTTCTTTACATGTAGGTCTTAGAACTATTGTATGTTCATACTGGGCAGTGTATGAACCTTTAATATCAACCAGTGGCGGATATGATTCCACTGCACCTGCATCAACCAAATTCTTTAATGCTAATGCATATTTTGTCTCTCCCACTCGATCAAGATAACGACGACAAAATGGAAGTGTACCAAAATTTTTGCTGATTGAATTTAAAAGTGCTTTTGTTCTTGCAACCCTATTACGTTAATAAAAATTTTATATTAGTTTATCCTCTTTTTTTAAATAATTTATTTTTTTATTAAAAATCACCTTAAAGGAATATGTCCAAGATTTTGTCGTTTTGCATAATGACTACATTCTCCATCTTCATGAACAACCCCTTTCCCCGTACTTCCAAATGTTTCAATAGCAAAATATTCCCCTTCCTATATATAATAGTTATCGTTACTCTATGAATAAAACAAATTTATAATCTGAAATATGATTGAAAGAGGCTATATGTATTATATGTACCTCCATTTTGGTTTGATCTCCATTTTTGACAATAGGAACTGATTTACCTCCATGAATTTGATATGGAAGTATTGAATGTCCATGTAAATTACGTATTGGTTTAACTTAATATTAAAAAATAAAATAAATTAATAAAATAAAATCAATATATTATTCCCCCCAAAAAAAAATAAATAATAAGAAATAACCAACCCATATAAATATTTACCTTGTTGTGTTTTCCCATTTATTTCAACTTCGTAACTTTCCATAACTAAAATGATTAATTTTTAATTTTTAAATTATCAATTTTCTTTTGTAGAAATATTAGAGAATCTAAGAAACAATAATTAGTATAAACAATACCTTCTTGGATAGCTGCCCCGATATCACCCAATCTTACATCAATACCTGCCTCCTATTTTAGTTATTTGAGAAAAGGAAATTTAATTTTCTTATCAATGATTGTTAAAAAGAAAAGAAGAAAAAACTTACTTTAACACCAGTATTTGTAGCATCTTTAACAGAAGCTTTAAGATTATCATAAACTGGGTTGAAGGCTAGCGTAAAAGCACTATCTATAATACGACCTATATTTATTTTATTTTATTTTATTTTATATTTACCAATTCAAATAATAATAATAAATTATCTTTTGTCTTCAATAATAATAAATTACATATACACATACATTATTGTAAAAATTACCATTAACATGTGTCCCAAAATCAATTTTACAAACGTCATCATATTGTAGCACTGTTTTATCTCCAGAATTTGGTGTATAATGTGCTGCAAAATTATTTAGTGAGCAACCAGTAGGAAAACCGATTCCTATATAAATCAATAATTATAACATTTATATTATTATCATTATCATTATTATTATTGTAGTTGTTATTACTATCAATTATATAATTATTAATGTTTCCATAAATATAGACCAACAAATTAATTAAGATGATTAATTTATGGTGAGTAGCATGGATATTTTTTTCTTGTTTGCATAAAAATTGTTATCATCCATAAATAATAATTGGTAAAGAGATGAGCACAGAGTGTAGCAAACTGTAAATATATGTATATTTTTTAAATAATTACCTGCTGACAATCCATTTTCTTCTATCAATAACCGAGTCGAATTTTCAATTAACTCACAAATTTCTATCATTGTCATTCCTGGCTTAATAGTTTTTTGAGCATGTTTACGTACCTACAATTCAATCAATTGATCAATGATTAATTTGATTTATTAAAAGCAACTTTTTTTTTGATATATATATATATATATTAAAATTTTATATAATACCTGTCTATGTACTTCTGCAGCACGACGAATGTCATTATAACCATCAAAAAGCATTCTATCAAGGTTTCTTTTTTCTTCATTTGTGATTCTCTTAAGGTTGCTATTGTATATAATATGTACATGCATAATATATAAATACATAAACTTAATATTTTTGCTTGATAAATAATCAATAAATAACAATATCATCATAGCACTAACTCATTTTTGTATTCACATATTTCTCCTTCTGGATATATTCCATCAGGATAAAATTTACTAACAGGAATAGTAGGAGGTTCAGTTTGTTTTAATTCAGTTTGAGCTATGGTATTAGTAGCATCATTATTGTCAACTGTTGCCGTGTTGCTTTTTTTTTTTGATTTCTTTTTCTTTTTCTTCTTTTTAACTTTTAGATAATAAACAAAGATTAAAATTTTTTTTTAAAACAAAAATAAACACGACCACCACAGCTAACTACCACTAACCGCCACTAGCTTGAGTCTTGTCCTCTTCCTTTTCTTCGCCCTTTTCTTCATCCTCTACATCATTCTCTACAACATTCTCTACATCATTCTCTTTTGCATTCTTATCTTCTAACATCAGGAAGTTTTTTTACGTAATTTTTTAAAATGAAAATTTTATGGCGTAGAATTATTATTTGGATTATGTGTAATACAGTGTGAGACATCACGTGCTGCGCTACTTACCGGAATTTTTTATGCCGATACTCGATATATACACACGATCCAAAGAAAAGTTATTCAAAGTAAATCTAGAAGAGAATGAATTAATATTTGTTCAGTTTATTCAGAGAGTAGATCATAAAGTAAATGATTATCAATTTTAAAATGTAAAAAAAAAATAATTACTTAATGGAAAGCCTAAAGTATGAAATCTGTAATAGAAAAACAAGGTTTGTGAAAAGATGGGTTGTTAAAAAAAATGTAAAAATCATACACAGGTTCTTGAATGCAGGACATAAAATAATATTTTATCACTGTGAATTGAACTATATGAAAGTTTTTGGGGTGCAGTTAAAATCACACCAGAAGGAACTCTAACTGTTCATTTAAAGAATTAAAGGCAACAGTCCCAGTCAGGAGCAATGATTTCTGGAGTGATAAAACACTAATTCCGTGCTAAATCAAATTCCGTATACATACCATGCATTAAAACACTATTATTACTGTTACTATATCTGCATAATTTCCGTTATAATATCTATGAATTCTGCAGTTTTTCAAAAAAAAACGGATCTATATTTAAACGATTTGGTGGTGTGAAATCAGAAAGAATAGTTACGCGACCATTAATTTTAAAAAATATTACAAAATAAAAAATCCTAAAAGGGATAAAATGTTTGACCAATATTCATATATTAAACGCTGATCCGCAATAAATTGCCCATTCATTTAATAAATCATGGATTATTTAATTTTTTGATGATATTGTATTGACATATATCTACTTGTGTTAGTCAACAAATTGAATCAAAAATTTGACATGTACAAAAAAATGGACATCAGGATGAGAAGGAATGTGTACATTTAGATTGGCTCATCAAAAGTTTGCAGCTTGTTGGAAAATAGGATAAAACTCATCTGGGAGAAAACTATAATTAGTAATTATTGAGTCCAAATTAAAAAAATTTGTTGCAATCATGTAACAGGTGACCTGTACCCTGTATCTTTTGAGATTCGCCCAATAAACTTTGAAAAGTACAGGGTATAAGAAATTTTGTTAATCCTATACTTTTTTTTTTGAAAAATACAGGCCGCACAATTACGCAATTACGTAAAACAATCATTCAATTAATATTAATATCGGCTAGGATGAATGGTTAAAAGAATTAATAATTAAATATTTAATTATGTTGAAAAACTGACAATTCAAACCATTATGATTATGTTGAAAAACTGATGATTCAAATAACCATGTTGAAAAAAACTGGCAACTCAAATATTCTGTTAAAAAAACCAATGATAGAATAAATTTTTTCTTTTCTAGTTAATAAGTTATTAGGAAATATTGGATGTTTAATTAATAATGTAAATAAAAACAGTTCTCTACTTTGAAAAAAATTGTATTAATTTAAAATAAATAAATAAATAAATTTTCTACTTTTATTAAAAAATTTGAAGAATCTATTAATGAAGGTTTATATATAATTAATCTTTTTTTCTCTCAAAAATAATGTTTGCAAACTTTTTCTCAAATTATCAATCAAAGATTTACAAAGCCCAATGGAATTTGCATTCATTGTAACTCAGACAAAGATAATTTGGATAAAGATAACAGCAATAATACATATTGGTTTGTTTTTTGGTTGCATGTAATTTAATTAAACCTCAACATATATATAATATATTTTTAGACAAAAACTATCCATTGTGGTCTTGTGGAGATCATGTTTCTAAATTCGAAGAAGAACCAAGAGATTGGTCACAAATTGGATGGGCTTTTTATTCTTCTGAGTCAAGATGTAAAAAAAAGCTTGGGACAAATCAATGTAAAAAAATGTGGTACCCAAGTTAGACCAAAAATGAAAGACTATAAAAAAAATAGTAAAAGCTGCTTGCTCATTATCTACTTGAGATGGTATTTAAGTTTAATTTGTTTAAAGCTGTTTGTCATTATGGCTAAAATTCGTTTGATTTTATATATAATGTTAACAAATGCATGTTATTTATTTTTAGAATCTTTAGAATTCAGTTGTAAATTTATCAAATTGGTTCGATCTCACGAAAGTTGGTTTTTTTCTATTTGAACGTCAAAGAATAAACCATTCAATAATGAGAAAGATATATTCAAAAAGCGCACCTAATATTTTACCTAAAAAATTACAAGTTGGGCAGTACTTGAATAAAAACAATCCGCTTGCTCCAATGAGGAATACTTCAGAAACATATTCTAACATTGACCAAGCCAAGAAATAATAGGCTCAAGTTTTCGAGTTGACTGACATTACATAAATAGTCGCGAATAATTAATAATACTTTTATTTTGTTTTAACTCGAGCCTGCTCTATTTTTGAATAAAAAACGAATAAAACCCCGAACAAAGCGAACAATTCGAACAAGAATTTGTATTACGAATAGGAGTTCTCAATAATAATATAGATTTTTTAAACGTTTTGCATTTCGTTATAATTTTCCGCAAAAATTATAAAAACATATGAAACTCGTTGAAACGCAATTAGTAATTTTGACATGACGATTTTAAATGCAATTTTCTTATGCGTTCAATGGATCCATTGAAACGAGGTTGATGATGAGCATTGATAATTTGCTCGATAGTAGAGGCTTGAGTGATTTTTTCTTTTATATCAGTAGGATATGGGGAATAGATTTTCATTTCTTGAAGTTTTTCTACTTACCCTATTACTATTACCTATAGAAAATTATGGTACGGTAACTCCTTATACTTTGTAACATTTATTAGTATTAGTATTAGATTCTTTAATAAAGTACCTTTCGCCCCGATAAAATGTATGGAAAAATAGTTGGTAAGAACATCAATAAATTGCGTTGTGCCAGTTTATTCCTATTCTTTTTATGTGTTAATCAATCATCGACCACTATCTGAAAGAATGATATTTGAACATGAAAACTGACTCACTATTGAACTATCAGTGCAATACGTAATATTCATGAAATAATGCAACTGCCCTCTCGTAATTTCTTAATTTTTTCATCGTCATCCATCTTCCAACTTACCCCTTTCTGTAAACTTTCTTTATGCGTCATATAATCTCCTATTTTTGTAACCATCATTTCTTGTAACTTTCCAGGCACATAAACTTTTGTGCAAGTCTTCAAGTAATTTAATAATTTTTCCTTGATTCTTCTTTGATACCTTCTGCAACTTGTCTAGTGCGATGTGTTATTGGTGGATTATCTATATGAATAACATTTTTGCATGATTTAACAAATAGAGAAAGTTTATCATTTTTAGAAATCATAGCTTGATAATCTTTTTCACATTCAGCATCATCTTTGAAATCAGGAAAATTCGTCCTAACAATAGTAGTATACTCAAAAATACTCTTATCAAAAACAACTGATTCTAACGTTTCAAACGCATCTATTTCTATATCGGTAAATCTTCCATTACTAACAAATAAAATCTGATTAATCTCGTATTTAATAACTTCAGCAGCGATGGCTAATTTAGTTAGTACGCCTTTTGGTGACATTCTAGTCTCCAATTCCCACGGTGTCAACTATTTTGTACAATTTTCCATCAATCACATAATGATGAACACTGGTATCTTTGATCGAGCCAACTGAATGATAATTTACACCGTAATCTTCAGAGCCAATGATTAAATTTGCTAAAGTTGATTTTCCACCTCCTGTAACTCCAATTAATAATATCGTTATTACATTGATGGTTTTATGGTTTTTATGATCTCTACCATCATTCATAAAAATTTGTTCAACATTTTTATTATTATTAAATATCGAAGTCACTTTATTTATACATATTGTTAAAATCCTAATTACAAATAATTATCATACCTGCATGCAATCATGTTGTTTTAAAGTTTAACACGTCATATACTCATCAAAACAATTGGACTGATTACGAGTATTTGAATTCTAATTTAAATCTATCAAGTAAACAATATTAATAATTATAAGTAAACAATATTAATGATTATTCAATTTTTTATAACACCAGCCAATTTTTGATATATGGAAACAATTATTTGTAAATAAAAATGTTTCAAGTGTTGTTATTACTAATATTTGGCGCCTAATAACAAAACTTTAATATGCAAATAATCAAAATCGTTTGAAAATGCTAGTTTTTCTTTAAATTAAGTTTGAGAAAGTTGGTTATTTCATACAGTATCTATTATTTTGTTATGACGAAATTCTACACTGGTTTTCGAAATCGAAATACCCTTGGAGAAATTGATCAATTAAACTTCGAGATTAAATCAACCATTTATAAACAAATTAAATAATAAATATCCTTTTGGCTTATGCGTTCTTTAAGCTACGACAAATAATGATAATTCTACAAACTCGAATTTTTATTTGCCAGATTCAAAATGTCTGGATGACCACCAAAAGTCGTATAAAACTATAAACAACATTTGTCTTTTTTAAATATTTCTTTCTAGATAGTCTTTATTTGCGGAGGAAAAAAAGTGCGCTATTTTTTAAAAGGCAACTTTTAGAAAATATGTTTATTTAATTTCGATTTCGATTGTTCATCGAAATCGAAAACTATTACTATTACTATTACTTATATATCATAACTAGGAACAAAACGAAAATCATCATCGTTATTTCAATCACCTGAAAGATCTAGTCGTGTCAAAGATGGACCGACTATAAGTGCAGATTTAGTGGATTATCTATACAAAAAAAATGAAAAACAACTTATGGTTGGGTCACATTCACTGACACAAAAACAAATGAAAGATCTTGTTGATAAGTTTACATGGTTATCGTCAGATCATATCAATGCATACTTTACAATACTCAATTCGGAATATGGAGAATGTGTTTATGCTTTCTCAACATATTTCTATGCGAAGTTGATGAAGGGTGATGAATATTCATATTCACGTGTTATAAGATGGACCAAGAAGATTGATATTTTTTTTAAAAAAACTTTTATTTGTTCCAATAAACATCAATACATCGCATTGGATTCTTGCAGTTATCATTATCAAAGAAAGAAAGATCGAACTATGGGATTCTTTGGGTAGAGGATATATAAAGAAAGTTGGAAATAACCTTATAAAATATATGCAGGATGAATATAGACAAAGGTATTCGAATCATAATAACAATAGCGACAATAATGATGATGATGACAATGATAATGTTGTTAGTAATGTTGATAGTAATATTATTAGTAATAATGGTGATAATGCAATGTTATTATTAGTAATAATGATATTAATAATAAAGATAATTCATCACCACCACCACCACCGCCTTGTTCTTCATCAAATTCAGGAATAGAATGGACAGCTAATAACAAGTTTTACAAAAAGACACCCCAGCTAGATGATCATTCTTGTGGTGTGTTTGCTAAATTATTGTCAGCTGGTCTAAATGATGATAAAGTTATCAAGGAAGCATTTGATTAAGAATTTTAGAATTTTAATGGCAGAAGAAATTTTATATAGTAGTAAACCATTTATTGCTGCTAAAGAATTCTTTGATCAAGAAGAAAGTGATTGATTTATTATTTATTATGTGTTGCTTTATATATATATATATATGTATATAGTGTGTGTTACAAAAAATATTGTGGTCAAAAAGCAGCCAGAATCACAACTATAGAATCAGAAGTCTTAAATTATCACATGTGAAATTTTTGTATTATTATCTAATTGTGCCCCCAAAACTTTCAGGATGGTTTGATGTTCCTTATATTCAGTTCCGTATATAGATAGTTAATATTTGTGGACAATAACTTGTGGAATCATCAGTGGCTTTGGTGATTGCGTTAATGCTAATGAATGAACAATAAATACCTCGGATTGCTAAAAAAAAAAGAATTTGTGAATGAAAAGGCTTGTTTGGTAAAGAAATACTTGTACAAAATAGGCTAGTAATATAAATCTTGTTAAATGCATAAATGCTTCTTAAAGCTATTTTTTTTTTTAGTGCATGCGTGATCATCAAAATTTTATGATTCATTTTTGCCAAACATAAATAATCAAAAGTACACAATTTATATTACTATTACTATAACTGTCCTTTTACATAGGTTTGATCACCAATAACTTCCTAAAGAAGTCTAATTTAAAAAATTATAATGTGAGCAAAATGACAATTAAAGTGACAAAATTTGCAAAATGCCACCATATACCTATCTAACATGATTGATATTAATAGTTCTGTCTGATTTTAGGAGGGATATACAGAAAAAATACCCATCAGAGAGAATCCGAATATCCGTATAATAATAAAAAGCATTATAATTAGTATACTAATACTAATACAACATTAATATTAATATTAAATATTAATACATACTAATGCTAATACAGTCAAACCTCCTTTCAACAAATCCATGGTACTGATGATCAATACACGTTTTTTAATGGATGATGATGATTGTTGTCAAGACGTTTTTTTAATTTAATAAAAGGAAATTTCATCTTTATTTATACAGATTTCTTGGAATTCAGTGGTTTATTGCTTGTTCTGTCTTTTTATTAAACAATTTTATTATTGTTGTTCACATTCATCTTTTTTTTATTATTTGGAAATTTGGAACAATTTTATTATTGTCACTTTTTTTAAATTGTTGTAATGTGATTAGTATTAGTACTCACTATTACTATATGAACAAATGGTAATTTTGAATAATATTTGGCCTGATAAATAAAAATTCATTAATACCAAAAGAGATCCATTATAAAATGTATTATTATTATGAATCCTACTTAATTATTCATCCAATAATGATTATTATTGATTAAATATACAAAATAATTGATGAAATAATCTTTTTATTTCAGATGTTTCATTTTAAAGATTCAGTAGGCCAAATGACTCTAGGTCAGTCCACTATAGGATTTTTGAAAATAGTAATTAATAATAATAATAATAGATATCAACTTTACCTCACAGTTGATCAATGGATACTAATATTAATATATTAATACTAATACCAATACAAGAAATATCCACCACGACTGTACTAAAAAAAAATCAACAAAAGAAAAAAATTAAACAAAGTATGTATAAATAAATTCTTTTAAATTAAAATTAAATTATTTAATATAAATTATTTAGTTATCATCCTACTTCATGATAGACAAATTAAATGTTAATATTAATATTACTTTATAATCAATTCGTAAATAGAACATTTATGCAAATTTCTTTGAAAGATTTAACTTTCTCCTAATATAATGACATCCAGATGTAATAATGGCACATTAAAAGCAGCAGTTGCAGTAGAAGTAGCAGTAGAACAAGAATGAGATGACAGTGACAGCGGTAGTTGTAATATAAGAATAAACTCTTGTGTATGTTGTGTGTGAATTTGGAATCTGCGTCAATTTGAAATTCACGCGCGTGAAATTCAAATTAGCCAATCAGAATTTTGTATTCAAA